TCCAGCACAAGGCCAGCCTATTTGTGCCTTTAAGTTTTGGCAAGGTTTGCTGTGAAAATGGTAAGCGTGTATTAACTGGAACCACTCCTGTGAAGCAGGATGAAGCCTGGAAGGATTGATAGTGTGCTCTCCTGAGAAGTGCAAGACACAGCTTTTCTTCACTGTTTGGCTATATTATTTCTGTTCACTTTGGAATGAACAGTATCAAAGCATCTAAAAAATTTTTTTCTTCTCATACATGTGTTTTAATTTTCTTCTTCTAGACTATCAGCATCAGAGACCCTATTGCCTCAGCCATCTTCTGCTACTTTTCGCAGGTTTTTTTGTGCTAGAGACTTTAGAAGTTAGCTTGTTTTAGCACTAACTCATTCCCTTTCTAAATTAAATTTTTACATTAGTCAGTATCTCAACTTACAATTAATTTGACTAACTGATTAATGACATACGAAAACATTGTTTTAAACCCATACATTTACTAGAGCTGCAGAAGGACATACATCACTCCTTCCTGATCTTTCCACAGGTACTTGCTTAGATATATATAATGACAACAAGTATCTTTCACATGTCACTGCTGTGTTTCCTTTACCTTCCCAAAGAGTGGCGTAAAAGGAGCTGTACTATCAAGGCCACCTTTCCCAGTCAAAATGAGACAAGACGAAGTTTTCACTTTTAAAGTAAAGTACATTTACTTAATGACTTCCTCCACCTCTCCCCCAGTCTGCATATCTTAATTAATATGAACTGTTACCCAGAACAATACAGATTTTGTAATTAGGTAAAATGGTTAAAATGTGATTTTCCAAATTAAAAACCTTACATACGACTGAAATATGCAATTAAATCACCCACACTTTACTGAAGCATTCCTTTCCCACTGCAAGTTCATCATCCTTCCTTTCCTTGTCTGGCTGCTTTGGCAGCTTCTGAGGTTTGTGTCAAAAAATAAAGGTTTAAAAATGGCCTACCTCTCATAAGAGAACTGTGTACAAGACCTGTGTTTTTTAAAGACACCACAATGAAGAAACATAGAATAGCTACCACTGGTGTAGGGGAGTCTGGCACTCCCATTTGTGCTACTTAGGAGTGTTTATTCCAGTAAGCTACGAAGCCACAGATTTGAGCGTCTCATGTAGAAATGGACGTGACTCACACAAGTATACACCAGACAGTGAAAACCACTACTTAGTTTGCTCTACTCATTGTCTGGAAGCTGTCTGGTAGAGTCAATGTTGTAGTCAGTTCCCCTTGAGGAGAAGGGAACTCTCCTTTTTCATGTACTGAAACCACCACCAAGACTTCAAGAAGCTCAAGAAATGGCTGTGGACTTTATATACCAATGACCAAAAATTCCCTGATTCAATGCTGAGATTTTCTCTTGGTCAGCTTTCTAAAAACAATGTGCTCCTTTGGTAGTGACACAGAGCCACTGATGTGCAATCCTACCTGCCATCATGTCCTCCTTAGTAGCACTGCAAGGATTATTCTTGCCAGGTGAGTCACTGTCCTTAGAGGGCTGACAGCCTCTTTCACTCAGAAATAGGTTCTTAAATATTCCAGAAGCATTTATGGCATGTCAGTCAAGTCTGTAAAGGTATGGTTAAAAGAATTTAAGAGAACTGGGTGCTTGCTCCCACTCTGATGCCTTTCCCCTTAGGTACTGTTCTAGAGAAGGAAGAAAGAGCAGTCATGGTACTTTGGAGATACGATTTCAGCCACAGGAGGAGCCAAGAACCACTGCTTCAAATAGAGCCAAATTATTCACATACTTCACGGTGAAGCAACACTTCTTCCCAAGTTCTTGCAGGTGCAAGCATTAACATCTCGTACACAGGCATGTTGTGCGAAGCACCATTTCTACAGCTGGCTGCCACCTCCAGCGCACTGCTGGGATCTGCACACCTTACTGGGCTCAGCCTCACTTGCTGGCGTGCAGTGAGTCCTGCAAGGGCTGTGATTCAGAGTACAGATGTTTGCCTACAGAAGCGGCCAACGCAATCTGCTTTGCATATAAAAGTGCACAGGCACACCACCCCAGCCTGAGCACGGCCCTTACTGTTCTATTAAGGTCCCTGTCCATGCAGAGGTGCACATTTTTTGGCCTTTTACCACCCCTTTTCAAGTCAGCGATCTGTGCAGCTGGCCTCACATCCAGTGGCTGAGTCCCCACCTGACAGCTGAATCAGACTAAGTGTAGCATGCTGTGGTTCCCAGCATACACCAGTAATTCCTCAAGCCAGCACAAGGAAGACTATACGTTTGGAAAGTTATTTGGAGAGGAGACATCTGGGTTCTATTCCCTGCTCGTTTAATCGCTTTGTGTAAAAGCAGAGCAACTTCACCGGGAGGGACTGAGATCCTTAATGGGAAATACACAGTAAAATTGACCCTTGTGTGGGAGAAGAACCTCAGTCAGAGAGACCAAATCCCAGACACCCCAAGCAAGCTTTTTAACCACGGAGCTACTGATAAATCAGCATTGTGTTACTCTCTCAACCTTCTGAGTCTCACAAATGAGACACATGGGAAATAAAACATGTATTTCATATGCATGTTGCAACATGCCTAGTGGTTCGGTGCTTCAGGACCGAGGTCAAATGTGTGAATGCTCAGCAATGGCAACGGAAACATCTGTAAGACCAGGATTTTGTGCTCCCTACATAATAGGCTTACAACATGCACTGTGAAGTGAAAACAGTTTAAGAACTGCACACCGTGTCCTCAGTTGCACTGACAGCATCGCATGCAAGGCGGGGCTGTAAACCAGATTGTTGAAGTGGTGACCACTTAAAAAACCATTGCCAACCAATCAAAAAAAAAAAAAAACAAACCAACCCACAACAAACTAGTTACCCCTTTTCTGGAGTAATTGTCAACTGTATTACTTTGAAAATTCAGTTTAGGATGCAGCACGATGAGCACTTCTAATAGCACAGCTGAAGGAGCAGCAAATGTTTGTGTAAAGAACAGGAGCAATCGGCCAGCAGCAGCAAAGACTTCTAAAGCCAGTTTTGCAGTTCAATCCAATACACTGTGTAACTAATCTCCCCGTACAAAGCTAGAGCTTGACCAGAGTCAAGTTTAATCAGAGCTGTTGCTTTTTAATCTTCAAATAAAAGTTGCCAGGGCCTGCCATACCCAGAGGATCATCTGCTTTTTTTTTCTTTCTTTCTTTTAAATCATGACACCAGTTGAAAAAATATATGGATACTAAAGCTAAAATTTAAACCTCCTGTGGCAAATTACTTTCTCCCCACAATGCTACAGATATGCAGATCAACCAAAATTCAACTGGAATTTGAGGTTCTCAGCATTTCTGACAAGTCAGAGTCTGAAAATCTGGCTCTCAATACATGTACATAGGGCACCAATAAATTTTTATTTTTACACCTACCCACAAAGAAAAAGCGAGAGACTGAAATAAGGAAATTACTGGACACATTCAGATGGATAAGTATCTTGTAAAATGAATAACTATGCAAGGAAAATCATTAACAATAGAGCCATCTGCTGTATTTCAAAAAAACTACAGCAGCAAAAACTCTGAAAATGTTAAAATGCTTTACAACCTGAATTTTTCACTTCTCTGTGTTACAAATAGTGATCATAATGATTCGTACATCAGTTTAAATGACAAGAAATGTGTATTTCTTACATCTCTTCTAATTAAAACCAGTATTTACTGGCATAATACTAATCCTCTGCATCTAATGACACTAATTGGCATTGTACCTGAGCATGTAAAAAGCCTGAAATGCTTCCCATTCTATTTGAAGTAGATAAGCAGTATTTTGTAAGGAGACAATGAGGTCAGCAGCAAGTTGAATATTTATTTAAATACTAACAAGACACTTGGATTACTTTTTGCTTGCTCTAAAATAAGAAGAAATTTCAAGTCTGAAGAGCTTATAGGAGAAAAAAATCAACACAAAAATGAGGGAAAGTTTAGAAGACAAACTCAAGTGGTCCTTCTTTCTATCAATACACTTGAAGAGCCCTCTTTCAAGCATGGTGGAAGAAGCAGGTGGCTGGAACAGAGTTCAAAAAATATAACGTTTTTGCATCTTAAAGACGGTATTAAATCGCAGCCCTAAAATCTTGGTTAAAATAGGGAAAATTGTACCAGAGCAGGCCCAAAGCTGCAGAGAGAACATACCGCTGTAAGTCTGGCCTCAAATGGGTGCTTTGTTACATTTAGGGTCTGCAATGGCTATAGCTATGCAAAAAAATAACACCTACAAACTATACGCAGCCCCTAAAAACCCTACTCATGGGAATGCGTTTCTTAGCTGAAAGGTTCGGAACAAAAGACAGACAGACTCCTAAACATCAGGTCAGATGTAATGGAGCTTTCAAAGACAGGGAAGACCAAATTCCTTTTGAAGTACCCATTAATTGCTGGTAGTGAGTGCCATTGCTTTCGGGTATGCCAATTAAAGCCAGTTATAACCCACCCCACCTCAGCGCCTGCTGGAGCGCACGGTGCTCTTCCCCTTCCTGCATTTCCAATACAGTTGGTTTCCTAAATCGCGCTCTCATACAGATAGTTAGAAGAAGTGATTGCAAACCAGAAACAAGAGCTGTCAGCATGAATCTTCACAGGGAAGTTCCCCCTGCATTTAA